GCACTCTTTTGACCAAGCAGAAAGGCCTTTGGAAGTTGTCAACAGGTTGGTAAGAGGCGCGATGATGGAAGAGAAGTTGCGCACAAATCGACGAAAGTATGAGCACAGGCCGATAAAACTTCGAAGCGCCTTGATGGAATTGGGCTTCGGATAGTCGGCCACGGCGCGGAGTTTCGCCGGATCCGGGAGAACATTCTCTTTGCAGACGACGTGACCCAGTACAGTGAGCTGACGAGCTGCAAAATGGCACTTCTTGATGTTAAGTTGAAGGCCAGCAGAGGTGAGACACGTGAGAATAGCACGAAGACGAACAAGGTGAGTCGAAAAGTCGCGAGAAAAAACGACGATGTCGTCTATGTAGCAAAGGCCCGTGTTCCACTGGTAGCCGCGAAGGATGGTGTCCATCATCCGTTCGAAGGTAGCTGGGGCGTTGCAGAGTCCAAACGGCATGACGTTAAACTCATACAGCCCATCAGGTGTTACAAATGCAGTATTCGATCGGTCAGGATCAGCCATAGGAACTTTCCAATATCCTGAGCGTAAATCTAAAGAGGAGAAATATTCTGCCCCTTGCAAGCAATCGAGAGCGTCGTCGATGCGTGGCAACGGGTACACATCCTTCCGAGTTATCTTATTGAGCCGGTGGTAGTCGACACAGAATCGGATAGACCCATCCTTTTTGCGCACAAGTACAACAGGGGACAACCAAGGGCTCTGCGATGGCTGGATGACACCACGCTTGAGCATATCGTCAACTTGTTCGTTGATAATACGGCGCTCTCCCGCTGAAACTCGATATGGTCGTTGGCGTAAGGGAGCATGAGTACCGGTGTCAATGTGGTGCGTGATGTTCGCTGTGCGACCCAAAGATGGTTGAGCGCAATCGAATGCAGAACGGAACTCTCGAAGAAGGGACAATGTGTCGGCGATAGCTCAGCGGCAACAGAGGGCTGCAATGAGTCTGGCGCGGGCAGTGTGGCCACAGGTGGCGTCATATCATTGAGCTGGAGGTGAAGTGCGTGTTCGGCGAACTCTAGAGGGCGCAAGAGGTCAACGTCTTGTATGTTACCCAAACATTCTCCGCGAAGTAAGGTAACTGGCGACGATAACGAGTTCGCGACGAGCATGGCGGTAGCACCGGATTCCACGGTGAGTACGGCAAAGGGCAGGTGTAGGCTACGGCGGCGGGTAAATACGTCAGACGGGGTGAACAAAACAGTTCCGGCAGGAGCGGCCGTACAGGTCAGGGCTACAAGGGTGGATGTCCTCGGTGCTATTTCCGTGTCTGCAACAACGACAAGTTTCTAAGGTTCAGGAAGAGAATCCACCAAACAAGAGGTTGGCAGCGGTGTAAGGGCAACTTCTGCACGTGAGCAATCTATGATAGCCCGATGACGCGAAAGAAAGTTCCATCCAAGAATGACTTCGTGGGAGCATGATGCCAGCACAAAAAATTCAATGGCATAAAGTTCACCTTGGATAATGACACGTGCAGTGCACACAGCTGTAGGTTCTATGCACTGCGAGTTGGCCGTGTGGAGCATCAGGCCCGAAAGAGGCGTCATCACCTTTTTCAACTTGCGGCATAAGGTCTCACAGATTACGGAAACGGCGGCCCCTGTGTCAATAAGCGCTTGTGCGGCGGTCCCCTATACATTGACGTCAATAACGTTTTGCGGCGAGAAAGATGGAGGCCTTAGGCAGTTCGAATTGTATGCAGCTGTTGCCTCCGGAGCTGCAGCGATCAGTTTCCCTCTTCCGTAGCAGGTCGGCGACGCATAGGTGACAGGGAGCGTCGTCGGGGCGATGGTGACCGATGGTTTGCGTTGGGTCGAGGACCGTCAGTGGTGTACCTTGATGGCGTCCTAGACGACGACGCCATTGGCCTGCCCACGGTGTCGACTGGAGGGGGATCTCGGCGACAGTGGCGGGCGACGTGTCCAGCGATACCACAGGCGAAACTGATGGGCCTATTATCCGGCGTCCTCCAAGCATCTGAGCGACGGTAAAATGGAGCTGAAGATCTCGCGTAGGGATACGGCGCAGCAATTGGGGTTGTAGGCACGACATAGGGTGGCATGGCAGGTTGAGCATATGGCATACGCTGTTGCGTAGGCCGAGCAGCGACGGCGGCGTGCGTGAGAGGCGTAGTGACTGGTGGTTGCTGATGCACCGGCGGAAGGGCTTCAGCGACTTGGGTCCGAATGACGTGTTGGAGGTCCGGTGCCAAAGCTTGCGTGGGCTCATGTGTCAGTGGCAGCAGTGACAGCTGGCGCGCTACCTCTTCACGGACGAAGTCCTTGATATTCGAAAGCAGCGGCTGCTGATCGGTAGGATGGGCAACTAGGTGCAAGCTTGCGAGCGTGTCTGGCGTCGTGGGGGCTTGACGAGCAATTGCGCGCTGCCTACGCAATTCATCGAAGCTTTGACAGAGGGAAACGAGGACAGCAATTGTGGGGGGATTTTTCGCGAGCAACATCTGTAAGGCGCCGTCGTCAATGCCTTTCGATATGTGCCTGATTTTTTCTTCCTCAGGCATGGTAGAGTTGATGCGGTTGCATAGATGCAACACATCTTCAATGTAGCCCGTGTAGGTCTCGCCTGGTTGCTGCGCACGGTGACGTAAACGGTGCTCGGCTTGAAGCTTGCGTGCCGCAGGTCGTCCAAAGACGTCCGTAATAGCCGTCTTGAATGCAGACCACATAGTAATGTCAGCTGCGTGGTTATTAAACCACAGTTGCGCGGTGTCCGCAAGGTAGAATGTGACGTAGCCCAGCTTACTTGGGTCGTCCCATCTGTTACTTGCGCCGACTTTGTCGTACCTCACCAACCAATCTTCGACGTACGACTCAGTAGAGCCCGTGAAGATAGAAGGGTCTCGTTGAGGATACACGGCACCGCAAGTGACATGGACGGTCGAAGGTACCACCTGGAGAGGCGTCTCGGTGGCCATGTTCGTGTCACGTAGAGGGGGAAGCGTACGGGAGCGAAGTTCCAGGTTTGTACCGGAGTCCACACACCTCCACCAGATGTCACGCAGTTTATTCACGTACAGACCTACTGGAAGGCCGAGGAACGCCAGAAGAGCGAGGAACGCCAACAGGCCGAAAATACAAAACAAACACAAGCTCGGGTCGCGCGCGTGCACCAACGCTGTGGCTTGCCGTTTCATGCTGCTTCGTCGTCGTTCGCATAGTTCCCTACAACAACAATAAGTTTACTGTATCAAAATTAATGGATCATCTATAACACAGATTTGTGTAATGTTGCTCTTGACATATTTGTATTCTGATTCTAGGAGAGATAACGAATTATTCGAGCGTGTCAGGCACGCAGAAGAGCTTGCCACTTTGTAAGACCGAACCGGGACATACCACTACAATGAAGTCACGAGGTTTACCTTGAGGCACGTCGTGGTGATAGCCTGCGATGAAAGAGGCAGGTCATCTCACTTGCACCAGCAAGCGGATCACCATGCAACTACAGAGACATTTATTCATTTTTACACCGCAAAATGTACTCAGCCCCGACTGTAACGCTTCATACTTCAAATGATTTGAGAAGCGTTATTGTGACATCGCTTATCACGAACTTTATGTGGATCATCAATTGATAATGTGTGCTACAGCTGAAGAACAAGTTCTTAACGCTAAGAGCTGTGGTTGTAGAGCTCGTCTTTAAAAGATGCCAAGTCACAATTTTCGCAACCATGCAACAGTAACATTAGCGGGATGTAATTTCAATAGAGATATCTTCAGTGATGTCATTTCCTCAGAAAAATCTGAATAAGTATTCCAAGATTGCTTGAGCGAATGAACTAGTCTGTCTTTTGAAAATAGGTTGATTGATATGTGGGGTTTAAGGTCCCAAAACCACCATATGATTATGAGAGACGCCGTAGTGGAGGGCTCCGGGAATTTCAACCACCTGGGGTTTTTTAACGTGCACCCAAACCTGAGCACAGAGGCCTACAACATTTCCGCCTCCATCGGTAATGCAGCCGCCGCAGCCGGGATTTGAACCAGCGACCTGCGGGTCAGCACCCGAGTACCTTAGCCAATAGACCACCGCGGCGGGGCTTTTTAAAATAGGTGGTAGTTTGATAGAGCAAAAAGCAACATGTTAATTTGGCAGAATGCACGCCTTTTTTTTTTGTCAACGGGCGTATGACCACCGACGCGCTGATCTGCTTGCGCAGGAGCAATGATGTTACGTATTTTGAGATGTTAGCTTCATCACTGTTAATGGAAAATCAACGGGCAAACCACATTATTATGGCGCAAAAAACGTTTCAGGAAAGAAAATGGTGACAGAAAAAAATTTTAGTCGTTCATTATTACACCGCTCCTCTCAGTGCTTATGGGCAACCACAACGCTTAAAGATGAAGTTTTTGCCGATTGTAAGCATTTTGATATCGTAAGTTCGCCGTTATACAAAGTGATTCCAGGAGGCCAAATCCTTGCGAGTACTGCAACAGCAAAGGAAAGCGCTGTCGCTATTTAAGGAGTCTGGGCACTGCACCAATATAGTTCATGTACAATTAGTAAAGAATCACAAGTGATCTCAGCGTTCAAAATGCGCTGTAGCAATATGCAGGGCATTTAGGTATGATGTTTTCCCATGAATCTACACATACACAATTGCCATAGCATGGGTCCGTGGCAGGCCTTGTATGAAGGAGATCATTGTTCGCGAATACTCTGTGCAGGGCAGTAACACAATGTAACTCACTGATGCAGACAAACCGTTTTTTTCAACTGTATTCTTTTGTGGGTATTTGAATGATGCAGTAATACTATTCATCATGACAGCTTGTAAGCTATTGGAGGACTGCTTTTCAAATGTTATAGTTAGATAGCCAGCAGTGCATGGCCCAAGATTAGACAAAAATGGAATCGAAACAAAGAGATTTTTAAAGTATACCAACTTTGTTCTCCTTATATTTAGACTCAATGTAATTCCAAAAGTTATCCTCCATAAATAGGAGAGACTGCAGACGACCATTAGTTGACGATGGTTTATTTTGAACTCAGCTTCTACTGAACACCTATGTGCAGGACCCCCAAACGTTTTCCACGGGTGCGAAGTCCCACATGTCTGGGTGCCCAACGTGACTGACGTTGAAGCCACTATCACTCCACTTGAAAAACGGCAACGGGTACGCAGTCGGGGCGCCAACTCCGACGAACTGCAACTTTTTGAACTTCTCGTACGTGGTGAACTGAAAGAAAAACGTAAAAAGACACAGATTTGCCGCAAAGACGAAGCAATGCACGCAATAACAATAAGTTCAAAGGTCACGCGAAGAATGGCAAGCAGATCGAAACGTGCCCTGCGTTTCTGACCAACAAAGGACGACCGAAACGTACTCACATGTACGAATGAACACGAATAAGCGTCTCATTTCTTTCTTCCCTGTGTCTGAAAATCGTGCTCTTTTTCCTAACGGAGACTGTGCAACAAATGCAGTGACCTTTTTGCGCCCGGTAACAACAATAGAATCATTCTAGTGAGAGCCCAAGGCGTGCGATCCCTCCCCCCCTCACCGCAAGATAAGGGCGTGCGCGTGAGCGTCCACCCCCTTCCTCTCTGCGGGGCAAAGTGCGCGTGCGAGATGAGAGTGCGCGCGCCACTGCGTCATGACGATCTGGCGACGCGTGCTCATTGTGCCATTTCACTGGTAGTGCTGAAAACACGGCAGTTCAACAAAGATGGCCATCGGCAATGGTAAGTGGTAGATATAAGTAGCTTGCGTTTGAATGTTGAAGGAGAGGCTCCTTCGTGGCATTCTGAGTGCGAGGCTAATTCCTCGCACTCAGAATTCACAGGTTGGAGCTTCAATTCTACGCACCGGAGTCTTTTTCTGAATTGTAGTTCTTTTTTTTCGTGAGATTTCTTATATACAAATACGTATAGATATACGGTGAATGACGGTTACGCTAGTAGTAAAGTCCAGCCGAGAGTGGTCACATAATTACTATCGCAATAAAAACTGGACGGCACACTTGAAATAGAAGCACCTGCTGAACTTTACTACTCACAATTACAATACCGCCCAACAGAAGAGTAGCGGTCTTTAAAAAAATGGTAGCATATCCATGGGGTGAATGATGGAGAGTGGGGCGAAGCATCCGTCCGTCCATTCGTTCTTGATTCCATCCGTCTGTGCGTCTGTCTGTGTGACTGTCCGTGCGTCCATCCGCCCGTCCATGCGTGCGTCTGTTCGTGCCTCCAAACGTCCTTCCGTGCGTCCGTCCCTGCGTTCGTCCATGCATCCGCCCCTGCGTCTGTGCAAGCGTCCATCCGTTCATGCAGCCATCCATGAATCCGTCCATGCATCTGTCTGTGTGTCCGTTCGTCCATCTAGTCAACACTCCAAGTATCACCATCTCCCATCTTTTCATCATATGTTCCGCATATAGAAGCACCGCCATCCAGCGGACATTCCAAGGACTAAACGGGAGGTGGCACACGCACACTTTCTGTCGCTGCGGAACATGTACGATGTAAACGCGGAGAGGCTCGAGTTCGCTTCTAGTCAGGACCGGGCCCAATTTGGCAAATTCTGCTCACTAAGCCTAGGATGCTAGTGGTATACGTTCTCATTTAAAATAAAATGCATTGCCATGTGATTGTACCTTGCCGCGTGCATTCAGAGCTTTATTCCACATCTCTATGGGTGCGCCAAGGTTTCGCCTGGACAATTTCGAGAATTCGTAAGCCACGGCTGTAATTTTCATAAGATATTGTCATGCTGCAGGAGATGACTGGAGCCAAGAGGGAGAGGAGGTAGAAGGGAGCGTGAGCAGCGAGCCGTTGGGGAGTTCACCAACATGTACCATGCGCTGCACTGAGCATCTTTCACTTTTTTTTTCGCATATAACTCCATTCTATGATTTATTACCTTTTTATTTATTTACAATACTGTATACCCTCGAAGGCTGTTACAAAGAGGGAATACAGAGTGTACGAAATAAAATGGAATAATATGTACGAATAAATTCCGAACAACGCTGAAAAGCTTCAGCTAACTCACAATCAACAAATATGTTGGAATCGAGCTAGTACCAGTCAATAATCGAACGAGGCAGAAAGAAAACTTGAATGCAGAAATTCTCGTAGCATAGTGCGAAAAGACATATGGATGATATACACGTGGTGATACTCGGGCTGACGGGTGCAAGTACAAAGTTTGACTTATATGTATAATGCTTTCTTATAGATTTGATACAGAAACTTTAGGCGTGTGATTGACAGGTTCTGAAGGTTAGCCCTGGGAAGTAACACAGTCACCGATTGCGTCCTCTGATAGCTCAAAGAAACAAGCGTAGCTGTCATTCGCAGGATCCTTTCTAGCTCATAAACAAGATTTTCGCTGTGTGGATCCCGTATAATACAGGTATAATGGAGAGTTGGGCGCACTACTGTTTTCTAAACACACAGTATTGTCTGAGACAGATCATCTCTTAGCTTTTGCCGCAGAACACCCAGCTTACGTCCATCCGAGCAACTAACGTTTTCTAAATGCTTGCTCCCGGCTAGATTCGAAGGAATGTAACGCCGAGGTATTATGCCTGACTAGATCGCTCAATTTCCTTATTTTTATTTAATAGGCAAACGCCAATGGTGCTTTCCTATTTGATACCATTATGCATAGTGTCTTGTCGGAATTGGTTTTCATTTCGATGGAGGCGGAAATGCTGTAGGCCCATGTGCTCAAATTTGGGTGCACGTTAAAGAACCCCAGGTGATCGACATTTCCGTAGCCCTCCACTACGGCGTTTCTCATATTAATATGGTGATTTTGAAACTTTAATTGCCACCAATCAATCAATAAATTGATTGATTTTCATATCCCCTTTCTCCCACCACTCGTTCACAGCAAGCAAAGAAACATTGAGCAATACCTGGTCAATAATGCTTTTTAAATGCTTTTTATAAAAACACACAGTCATCCGCGAACAGTCCCACATGAACGGAATAGTGAACAGCTTTTGCAACACCATCATTTATTTCAAAAAATTGGCCCCGTATCTGCATGTTTCTGCAAATGTCGTCGAAAGACGATAGTCTTACGTGTTGACAAAACGAACAAGACATTTATTTGATGTTCTGCGCAAGAAAATCGGTAAATGATATTTAGGAGGCGCTGCATTAGAGTGCCTAGAGCGTGCAGTGGAGGCGAACGAGTGCATCAAGTCACGTCACACGTGAGACATTAGCGTCATCTGGCAGTTATTTTGGAAAACGAAACACGTGGCTCTGAGACAGGTGTGCGCGCCCATCTCCGAGATGGTAAGGTGTAGAACGCAAGGAAACCGGTAGGTGCCACCATCGTCTCGTCTTAGCAAAGCGTTGGCAACACTCGCCTTTTTGTGCAAGCGTTGCGTGGTCAGCGCAGCATGATAAGCGCTACGAACCTTAGAATTACTTATGTATGTGTTTTCTAGTAAAAGATGCACATGCAGAATATATAGGTGTTGTTATGGTGCCCCAGACATGCAGAAAAGTTTTCTGCAGAATCTGCAGAAAACGAAAGTAATGTACAACAACCTCGGAAAAGAGCAGCGCTTCGAGATAGGCAACAGTGCACTTCAAGTTGTAAAAGACAATGTCTACTTAGGGCAGGTAATAACCGCGGAGCCAAACCACGAGATTGAAGTAACTAGAAGAATAAGAATGGGGTGGAGCACATTTGGCAAGTACTCTCAAATTTTGACAGGTAGATTGCAACTATCCCTCAAGAGGAAGGTATATAACAGCTGTATCTTGCTGGTACTTAGCTACGGAGCAGAAACCCGGAGACTTACAAAGAGGGTTCAGCTTAAACTGAGGACGACGCAGCGAGCAATGGAAAGAAAAATGGTATGTGTAACCTTCAGAGACAAGAAGAGAGCAGAGTGGATTAGGGAAGAAAGGTGATTAAGGATATCTTAGTTAAAATCAAGAAGAAAAAATGGACATGGGCCGGGCATGTAGCGTGCAGACAGGATAACCGCTGGTCATTAAGGATAACTAACTGGATTCCCAAAGAAGGCAAGCGGGTTAGGGGGAGACAGAAGGCTAGGTGGGCAGATGAGATTAAGAAGTTTGCGGGTATAAATTGGCAGCAGCAAGCACAGGACCAGGTTAACTGGCAGAACACCGGAGAGGCTTTGTCCTGCAGTGGACGTAGTCAGGCTGGTGGTGATGATAATGATGATGATGATGATACATAGCATTTCTTCAACAGCATCCAATACGTTACACAGCACGATACAGAGTTCATTACACTATGACCATATAAAAATATCGAGTTCAGCTCCTGTCTTGTGCTTCCCAATTCTTCGTTATTGCCCAATGTGAGCGACATGAAACAAAAATAAACGCCTACCAACGCACCCGAGTCATTCTTCTTTTAATAACTATAAATTGATCTGGTTTATGTAAGTACTCTGGCCTATGAAAAGGAAAGCGAAACAATAGTAAGCAAGCCTTGTCACATGAATATGAGATGCTTGCTCCACTCAAGCAGACTGCCCGCCAGCCTGTAGCAATTACTAGTCGAAGGCTGCGGGAAGCATCATCTACAAATGCATATTTTTGGTCATACAAAGGACTCTGTATAGTGCCACCTAGATAGCGTTCTATCCTAGCGATTTTTTAAATCACTTTTTATTTGAGAAGTTTGAACAGACTGGTGCTATTGTTAATGACCATTGGAGATAGCCAGTGTCAGCTATATAGCAATGCAAAAAAGAAAACTGTTACCTTATGCTGCTTTTCGTAAGCTCGGACTAACCTGATATAAAACTCTCATTAAAGATCCTAAAAAGACAGAAGGGCTTAGATGTCAGCTAGCAATGGGAAATTCATTAGCAGGAGTTGTTTGCTGGAGCCAATGTTTCTACAAGTCGAGTCTTTTTTTTTCAGTGTCAGTCTTCAAAAGAACAAGTCCATTTGCCGAAATGTCGGCTCTAGTCTACGCACCCAGTGTACAAATTTTCCTTCTCTTTAAAAATGCACACTAGATATTTTTGGCTGGGTCTCACTTGCCACTAGTGTCCCCAAAATAGGTATAAATATTTCCGAAACAGATTAGATCTGTACCTCAGTCTTGAATATGGCATGGTTGTACGCGCCCAATCAGAGCGAAAGATATTATCTTCTTAGAGCGCGGGGAGTGCTGATAAGCCTCCAATTACGATTACCTCCTAGATGCAATCGCGTCGAAAAGAAACACGAACAGCTTATAGCATGGCTTTCTTTCTTCCTCGTCGAACACCGCCGAGCCCTTACTGTCACGAGGCAAATCCGCAATATTAACACAACGCTATAATCGGCTCTCGAAGTTCCTACCAAGGTGTGCATGTTCCGAGAGCCAGACACGTTCGGCTGACGTTATGCAGTAAGATAGCCACCCGCCAGAGCAAGATTCTGGCGCTACAGTGATGGCGACTGTTGGCTGTAATTCACTTAGCAGCAGTCAGTGTTGTAATTCGACGGTAGTAATAGTTGCCGTATCTGTGGTCGGCGTTTATTTCTATCGTGTGAGTACATCGAACAAAGCATAGAGAGAGAGAAACGAGAAAAAAAAGAAGGCAGGAAGGTTAACCAGATGCTAGTATCCGGTATGCTTCCCTACTCTGGTGTTGGGGAATAGGGGGTTGAAAGAGAAAGGGAGAGTTAAAAAATAAATAAGAGAAAAACACCGACACACACGCACAGACAAAATCAGTCCACTCAGAGGCGTTCAGACAGGCCAGTAGTTCGCAAGAATCCCAGTAGCGCTTGCACGGCTTTCTTCTGTGACGATGCGTCATAATGATGGCGCAGTATACTTTCTTCTGACAGCGGCTGGTCATCTAACCTGTTTAGTTTATTAGAAAGGTGTTGTCTTTCCAGGTTGTATTTCGGGCAGTCACACAGGATATGTCGAATGGTTTCTTCATCTCCGCAGTGTGCACAGTCGGCGGTGTCGGCCATACCTATGCGGAACGCGTACGCACGGGTAAACGCGACACCCAACCATAGTCTGCACAGAGCAGTAGCGTCGCCTCATCTAATTTTTGTTGGAAGCTGTATGCTTAACGTTGGATCAAGGGATTGTAATCTTGCATGCGCAAAGAGAGGCTTATTCCAAAGAGCCATGGAGTGTTGGCGAGCAAGCATGCGGAGCCTCCTAGCAGCGTCCGTCCTCGAGAGAGGTATTGACTGGTTGTTGTCTTCTGTATGGGCTGAACGGGCTGCTTGATCAGCTCGTTCGTTACCGATAATTCCAGAGTGGCTTGGCAACCACTGAAATATAACGTGGTGCCCTTTCTCTGTTATATGGTGTAGCATTTCTGCTGTTTCAAATACTAACTGCTCGTGTGGACCATGGCGTAGATTTGACAGAAGTGACTGCAGTGCCGCCTTGCATTCGCAGAAAATCGCCCACCGTTGCGTGCTTTGGTCGTTAATGAAACGCAGCGTAGCGCGAAGCGCTGCAAGCTCTGCTGCCGTTGTTGTGGTTGCATGAGCTGTCGTGAATTTGATGGTTGTGGTGTGCATTGGAATAACGACCGCCGCAGTTGAGCTGTTTGGCAGGACGGAGCCGTCGGTGTAGACGTGGGTGCAGTCTTGGTACTTCTCGTACAGCAGAAGTAAGGTGAGCTGCTTGAGGGCTGGTGTTGAGAAATCTCAATTTTTCTGGATGCCTGGTATTGTCAGGTTGATGACTGGCTGTTTGAGGCACCACGGAGGAGTTGAAGGTCTCGCCGCGGGTGTAAAACCAGTTGGTAGGGAGTCACCGTGTGTAGTTATTGTTCGTCTCTCGTGCACCGGTACCTTCTTTCAGCTCGTCGTCGCAAGGCTCGAAGCCACTCCAGCTCTATGTCGATGTCCATGTTTCTTACAGGGCATGGGATCGTACACATAGTCTCTTTTACAGTGCTCTTGATGGCCTCTTGTAAATCGGATATGTGTTCTTCGCATTGGTCTTCCATACGAAACTGAAATTTTTTCCAGTCCACTCTTTTAACCATGTCACGCACTTTAGGAGGCGACAATCCTCTGATCTTGACGTATGTTGGAATGTGATCACTGCCATGCGTTTCTATATCCGTGAACCATTCAGTATGTTTCACTAGGCTTCGCGAAACAAAAGCCAAGTCGAGACAGCTACTGTATGTGGAGCCACGTAAAAGTGTAGGACTGCCATCGTTCAGTAACCAAAGTTTGCTGTCTGAGGCAAAAGACGCCAAGTTTCCGCCCTTCATGTTGGTATTCTGAATTCCCCATAATGTATGATGAGCGTTAAAATCCCCAATGATAACACATGGGTCAGGAGTTAACGCTATGATGTCTCGTAGTCTTATTTGATCGAAATGGCTTGATGGTGATAGGTATGCGCCAACCACAGTGATGTTGAGCCTCCTCTTTTTCACTCTTAAGCATATGTATTGGTTTTCGTCATGAGGTGGTACAGGTTGAAGGATGTAAGTGAGGTCTCGGCGAATGTACACCAGAACCTTGCTGCTTTCAGTAACAGTAGACGACATAAAAGGTTCGTATCACGAGAGTCGTATTGCACTCGATAAGTTCGGCTCACAGATGACGATTACGGGAAACATATTGACGTACACAAATCGACGAAAGTCACCAATGCGCGATCTCAGTCCCCTGGCATTCCACTGCAGTATTGCTGCTTTACGAACCTCATCCCTGAAAGACAGTGGTGGGTTAGCCATGGTCTACTCTAGGGCTGCTAGCACTGGACTAAGCGCGTCCAGTACTTGAAGGGCACTTTTGGCTTACGGTGTATTCATGTCGCTTAAAACACGCGAATGGTGTCCACTAATGATCTTAGCATCACCATCACGCGATGATCTGGCTTCCCGGCCGTTGCAGCATCTTGTGCTTGTTCTTGAGGCGGCTTCTGTTGAGGCTCGACAGGTCGTGTAGGCGGCTTCTGTTTAGGCTCAACAGATCTTGTAGGCTGAAGGGGTGGCCATTCCTTTGGAAAGAGAGATCTCCCAGCATCTTCGCTTTCAGCGCAGATGTTTGCCGTGCTGGGGAGCCGCGCCTGTCAATTTCACTTGAGTTTCTGACTTTCTCGTGAGATTTGGACTGTCCTTTGTGAGCACCTTTGACGATGACGGCGCCTTCGCCTTACTTTTTGCGCAGCTTCTCTGTGAGTCGAGTTGTCTCGCACCATTTGCCTCAGAATATGAATCCCTTTCCTAATCTGAGCACAGTGCTTGGAGGAAGCACTGTGAGCTCCTTGGCAGTTGGGGCATTTCAACGTAGTTGCATTACAGTCGTCTTCTGAGTAGTGTTCAGCGCATCGGGGGCACACTGCGGAATTTCTGCAAACGCCCTTTACGTGGCCAATCTTCTGGCACTTGAAACATTGCATAATCTTCAGAATAAATGGGCGAACCTGGTGACGGAAATGGCCAACCTTCACGTAAGAGGGAAGCCAGTCACCCTTGAATGTTATTCGCACACAACGAGAGTTGCCTAGGCGACCAGCATGCACTATGACGTTGTTTTCACTCACTGGTTTTATCAGTACAGGAAAATGTTCATTGGCGAGTTCCGTGTCTATATCATAGATAACTTCTGTTACGGTGTCACCATTCGCTGGTATGATGGATCAGACTTTGATGTTTCCCAGCTCCAACACATGCTGTAGCGTGTTCAGTGTACTCAGGTTCCTCACGTCGATTGCCAAAATATTCTTTCTCGTGTTTATCCTGATGTCCTTAATCTTGTTAGGCACAATGATTTCAAGGTACAAGGAAAATGCTTGCCTGTTGAGGATGCGTAGATTGGCAGTAGTAGTCTGCGGCACAAACAGAAAGGAGTGAGGCCATCGCTGAGGCGCTGTCCTCACAATGGCTGTACTTGATGCCGATGATACGTTCATGATTCTTTGTTTGGCCTTGCGGTAGAGCACAGGTTCGAAGCCGTCTTCCGAGAACTCGTAGTCTGATGCAGAGTACAGCTCAGTGTCCTCACTCTCACTAGATGCATTGCCACGCTTTCTTGAAGCAATGCCCGTGGATGAACTAGTACTGGGCGGGATCTCCGGGGATTGTACATTCATCACCGCGATGTAGGGGGCTGGAGACCCCACTGTTGCGCTGTGGATTGCAGAAAATACAGCACAGACCGCAAGATGTGTCCCACAAGAGAATCACTTCGTCTTCCTCACAAAGCATAGAGTTTCCTGCAATAGTTACGAGTAGGAAATTTTGTGCTAGTATCTATGGGAGCTGCAACTAACGGCACTTTATTCAGCACGAGATTGATAAGTGGTACACCAATTAGCCCAGTCTTCGATCTTCTGGCTCCATTCTCCTGGAGCTACTCTTTCGCAAGACGGCGATCAGCAATTTTCAGTCGTTACACTTCCCCAACTTGATTTATTACGCTCATAAATTTGTATAGGCTTGCGAAGTTCACAAAGGTCTGTTCTTTTATTTGAGACAAAACCAAAAGACGAGAATACACAAAGCCACACGTGTGTTTGAAGCCCGCTAGCATGAAGACTAGGCAAATTTGCGTACTACCAGTCATTTCCACGATCTCTACGCAATGACAACGCTAGAGTACCCTCCTGTTAATTTTAGGCAACTCTATGACACAAAGCACCGCATACCTTGGTGTCGATGCCGCCGGCAGGCAGTCGCCGCATTCCAGGGATGTCGTATTTTCCTTGCGGGTCCAGAAGGTCATAGCGAGCCATAATTGCGTACGCCGCGTTGTAAGGGGGTGTGCAGTTGCAGCGGGAGTATGGATCATGAGTGTAGTCGTTGTACCTAGAAAAAGATAAATTTGGACGAGACATCTTCAACCATTCATAGGTGCTTTTTTTTGAGACTCGCCACCCTGCCGAATCAAGTTCTCACTTCACATTGCTCACTTTTACTGTGGCGTAACTTCTAAAACAATCACATCATTGAGCAAAATGTACAAAACACTATCCGTAGTATATATATAGCTATATATATATATATATATATATATATATTATTCTATATATATATGTATAATATATATATATATATATATATATATATATATATATATAGATATATGTATATATATACATATATATATATATATACTCTGATGAAGGCCGTGCCACGGCCGAACGTTAGTAATACGATTTCCTTTCAAATGTGCTATATGCAAGTGCATTCAATATAGAAATACCCGGGCCTGTCGTGCCTTCCCTTCAAGGTCTCTCTCTCTCTCTTTCTCTCTCTCTCTCTCTCTCTCTCTCTATATTATATATATTTATATATATATGATATAGATATATATATATATATATATATATATATATATATATATATACGTATAACAGAAAGTAATAAATATATAATCGATAACTAATTCCAATAAAGTTATATGTAGAATGATTAACAGAAGTTAGAAAGGGAGAGTACCTCTACACTATCATAATAATGTATGCATTGGTATTGCTTTTTTTACAGGGTTACAAAATGCACGCATCAGATGACTTACAATTTTTTCTGTCATAAGTTCAAGTGACAAACTATTTTTACCATTATGACGTTTCTCTACAAAACAATTGTCCTATGAACAACAAGATAATCCGTATCTCTCCAACCCCCCCCCCCCCCCCCCCGCCCAAAGGCGCAAGCGTAGGCAAGCGGCTAAATCTTTGATTGATATGGGGGGTTTAATATACCAAAACCACCATATGGTTAAGAAAGACTCTGTAGTGGAGGGCTGCTCCGGAAATTTCGACCACCTTGCGTACATTAACGTGCGCTCAAATCTGAGCATTCGGGCTTACAACATTTCCGCCTCCATCGAGCGGCTAAATCTTTATAGCTTACCTCATGACGGCCGTCATGGATCGTGGGTTCCAGATGTCGGTGTGTGCTCTTCGAAAGATTTTTGCCCTTGGTGCCTTGTCATAGCTGTAATAGTCTCCATATTTTGCCACACGTGCTGGCTGGCCACTTATCGCGAAGATGTCATCAAAGTATCTGTAAATCAAATAAAGAAGAACTGGCCCTGTACGACTTCTCTGCGTGTTTGTATTGGAGCAGACTTTGGCATTACTAGGAATCTCATATAGCCATCCAACGCCAAATTTTCTCATCGGGAACAGTATCAGCACAAGTGTCATGAAAAATAAGTATAACGTAATGTCGTCCCTATATGACACCGAACCGTCAAACATAAGCAAAATTTCTGACGGCATAATAGCGTTACTATGGCGCCATCATGACAAGATACACCGTGCCGTCAAATGACGACAGCAACACATCAGCCATTGCTTGGTTGAAAACGGACAAATGCGGATGCAGTGCAAACGCAGCCAATGAGCAGAAAGCATGCAATGCCTTCGATTTTGGAGGAAGTGCAGAACTACGTTAAGAGGGAAAAACGTTTTTGAGGGACAGGCGGGGAGTATGAATGCACTGACTGAAAAGGAGCAGACAACTTTCGCCTCAGAGTGGTTTTCAGGAGGCGCTGCTTAAGGGAACACATAAGGGACCCTGTGTGTTTTTCTTTTCTTTGAATGCGTATCCTAATGACCTCTCCTTGTGTCTATCTTGCCTATTAACCGCTTCTGTGAAATCCGCACAGCTTCGTTATGACACATTTATTTGTTTCCATTGCGTAAGACTACCCAATTCTCTCTTCATCAAATCATACTTTTTTTACTCTTGAAAAGTGGCAGGACGCATATGCTCACAGAAAGTTAAAAGCAGTTTTTTTATTTTTTTATAAATATTAGGCAGTTATGTTAACATTTGTCAATTTTTTCTCTTGAAGTGCGAATCTCTCAGGCTAAGTTCTTCGCACTAACATTATGTGAGATCTTAGTGAGGCCTCAAGCACAGAGTGTACTCACGCAATGTTGTAGCTTGGCCAATAGCTTTGCTTTTGAAGAACATCGCTGACGTCTTTTTGTCGAATTATGCCACTGGAATGAAACAGAGCAAAGGAGCGAGCTGTGAGCGCCGTTGCGCAATACGCAAGATGTGCCAGCACTTACGGCATTTGCTCAATAATCCACAGCGTGTCGTTAACGATTGCAGTTCCAGGCTGGAACAGCTTGTAGTCGATGACCATCCACTGGTTATTGTACCTGCAAGATCCACATATAAGCTACGTTTTCCGTTGAATGTAGGAAAGCAACATAAAAAAAGATGGCCGAGAAACACCATTCACCGACCACTTTAAACAGGTCCGAGCCAAGTCTATCAAATAATAAAAATAACGTGTATAAGCAGTGGCCGAGAAAACGTTTGTTGTACACAATTCTAACAGCCCGGCCTACGCCGCTTGCAGTTTAGAACACTGACCGTTTGCCCTGTTTCAGAAATTTACTTTTTTGTGCGTAGTAATTGCATGCGATGATTACGCATGTTTAAAATGACCACGTAATGTCTCCTCCATTTTTCTTGCGTTCCAAACAAATCGACATCATTTGGAAGTTCTGACCCACGGGTACCTTTACGACGCGTTAGGTAGCTATCCCAGGTCAATCATACCCCTTAAATCAACCTGTAATACCAGCTACCCATGCTCGTTATCTAACCCATTATACTCTGTTTTGATGTACTCATCTTTGCACTCGCCATTCACAGTTCCATCGAAGTATTCATGCTCCTAACTGCTAAAGTTTCTTTGCTATCGTTAAAGATTCTGTCTCATGTGTTTAGTATTGGTAATACACTAACTTTACATTTCTCACTTCAAAAACAGCGCCAAATTGACCGCCATGACTTGAGCAAGCCTGATTATATAATCTAGCCCATCCTTATTCTTCGGTGAATTTTTCTACCAAATATAGTATTCTCGCGCTAGTAAATATTTAGAGAAAATGTTAGTTTTGTTTTTACAGAAGTTTCAACAATACGAACGAGCTTGGCTGCAAAAATTATTTGTTTTGTGGGCTATATAGATTGCATCTCTCCCTTTTCCTATCTGCCATGTCATAGCCAATAGTGTTTGGTGGCGGAACCATAGGTACCAGGCATACGAAATAAAGACATGTAAACATTGCACATGCGTGATCTGCGTGTAGGTTTGTGATTGGTTGAAAAGAACAAGAAAGCTATGCCATTGGTCTGCTGCAAATTTTAGCAGTCTCATGTCTCCCCCTTACATTAGGTGGAGGTACAAATTACCGGGTTCTTTTTGACTAAGCAGTGGTAATTTATATTATAAGTAGGTGTGTCAGTTTGTCTGTATGGCATTTTGTCCATAGTTTTTTTTTGAACAGTAAAATACAACGGTGTAAAAAGACGCCAAATTGATACAACAAGCAATTTTCCCGTACGCTCCTCTGCGTCATATATCCGAGGAAACATGATTGAACGTTCAGAAGAACATACATCAATTGCTATTGCGTTCTTGAGCACTCGAAGAGAGAATTACTGATGTGATGAAGATCATTCACTAAAAAAGCTGAATAGTGCATGTGAAAACACGTGAATTCATATGATTTCCAGTTTTTATACGATATCTCAGCATCACACATAAAAAAAAATCTCCCAGCTAGACCTTTGTTTAGGAACGCAGAATCTTCCAGCACCATAATGTAATGAGTTACTGGAATGTGAGGTTTCGAACGTGATGCTCACTTAGGTGCTCTATTTGAGTTTCCTAAACGGTAAGATACAATTACGCGCTAGTGCGGCCGTTTACTGCGATGAATTCTCTCATCTATCCACTGGATATGCTGCATGCCACCCAGATGAGACACCAGAAGAGGGAAGGTGATTTTGCACATTTGACGCTTTCATCTGTATATGACGCATTTTAAGAACTTTCCAGAATATTTACCACAATTATTTAACATCATTCGTTGCTTTCCTTGCGCAAAACGTTAGCACACATTCTACAAACGTAAATTTTGTTTTACACTCTAAGAAAAGTAGGTGTCATTTCACTCTTGTTTTGTATATGTGAAAATAACACGTGTCGCACTTCTTTTGAAAGGTGCTTTAAATATTTTTAAAAGAGTAATGCGCTCACTGTCCCAAGGAAATCATGTCTCCCACGGGTATCCTAAAGAGAGTCAACGTGTGGCATCTTTAAGGACGGCGAGAGTCAGATGTGCAACACTTCCTTCAAAGGGGCGCCTTTACTGTACTTAAAAGTAAGTGTACTGACTTTTTTCAGGAAATTACTGCCTCCTTGAGCGCTCCAAAAGAGAGTTAATCTACCTCTCTAAAAAAGTGGTCCTCATGTGGGAGTCACATGTGTAGCACTCAGTTTAGAGGGGTGTATTGACCCTCTTCAGAACAGCATTGTACTGGCTGTCTTTGGGAAAATCATACCTCTAGCGGCCATCCTAAAGACAATCAACGTGTTTCTCTAAGGAGTGTTACGCATATGATTCTCACATGTACAAAATGAAAGTCAAAAGTTATCATGAAGTAGCGGAAACCATTTAGTACCCAGCCTCACCGATAGTCGGTTTTGAAATCAGTAACGAAGAAAACGGTAGAAACGTCTCTCGCCTTCACACTTACGTGCCACTATTTTTCTCCGCAAAGATGTCAACCCATTCGCGTGCTGACGTGGCCAGCCTCGTAGCCACCATTGCGCGCACCCAGGTGAGTGGCGCCACCTCTGGATCGATCAGTAGCCACAAGTCAGGGTTGCTGTTCTCAATGGACGTTTCGGTGACGGCCTGCCGATGAATGATGTATCTATTATTTTAAGAAATGGTTTATAATAGAAACATTCATGTTTTACTATATTTTACTGAATTGCTTCAGAACTTCAGCATGCGGCAACAAACGCATTAGAAAGAGAACAAACACAAATGCTGTCTTCCTTCTCTGTTGGCAGTGCCTGAAAGACACAGCGTGTTTTCAGATGAACCTCGTAAAGCAATCCTAATTCCCTTTCTCGAGAACTTTACCGCTAGATATCGGATAACCTTAGTGTCACGGTGTCTCATTGCGATCCATGTGCGCAGCAGCTGATAGCATGCATAACATTTGAGTGACGATAAAAGCTGTGCGCATCCTTTTAGGTGGCCAACAGCTGCACATCAGCATTGATGGAGGTACCAACCAAAGTAGATCGAAGTTCATAGGCAGTCGATAAGTAGTAAAACGCTACATATGACCAATACACATAAGTATTGGTGTATCTGAGTGCATGGTGTGCTGTACTGACTAGAATTACATCAAGACAACAATAACTGTAACCGAGTTAAGCTAAGGCTACAACAACAAAAAAAAAACGGCGGCAGATGCACAGCAAACGACCCGTGTTAACAATATGAAGTTGCACAGCCATTAAACTCAGTAACAGCCCATATAAAATGAAATATTTGTTAAAGCGCAGTCACATGAAGTAAAAAATTTATTCTGAGTCTAACAAGCTAGAAACTGTTACTGTATCAATCTACTTACAAAATGTCACAAGGTGGATATATATGTCTGAAAAAAAACTGGCTAGTATCAGGAACTGCTAAGAAAAAAAAAAACATAAGTTACCTAATTTGTTCGGTCAATGAAGCATGATGAATTCAACCCACAAACAGCAATACACATAAAACTAGGGAGCGAGGAATACGTGAAGAGACAAGCTCGTGGCGTTGACAGTATGACAAAGACAGATGCTTCAATGCCAGTTAAGGGTTACTGGCCTAACTAGTCCTTATAACACAAGAGACAGTGGGATTGGGCGTGTTGGTATAACATTATAAAGGGTGCTTACCAGCGCAAACGACAGGGTAGGAGGTCTTCTCCTGTCCCCTCCTGCCCTGTCGTTTGCGCTGGTAAGCACCCTTTATAACCTTATAACACGTCGGCCAATATATAATTCAAGAACTCTTTACTGACCAAAATTAAGTTAAAAAGCTTGTCCGTCATTAAGGGGTTCGGAAGTCCTTTGTCTATTACTGACAGTTCACAGGTTTCTCATTACACCTTTCTTTGTTCGCAAATTTGTCGCACTAAACAAAAAGGGTTTATTGAACGTGCAATCACCATTCAGGTGCATATTTTCGCAGTAAGAATCTGCATCAAATAAAAGAATTAACAGAATGAGTATATTCTTCAAACAATTATTATAGTGTCATAGTGAACAGCACAGCTTATATTTCTCTCAATATGATGTGCAAATTAAAACGGTTAAAATGAGTTAGCATGATTTTTGCTTTGTAGTTTGAGGAACCATGGTTTTGCCTAATTAAACCAGACGGGATTGGTGATAGTTTTTGAGGATTTGGAAGTGGTGCTGCAAGCAGCATGTACAATTTCTCCATACCTTTATTACCTTGAATGGGTTGTCAAACTGGGTTTAGTGGAACTCGAGTGGCTCTGCAATTGGTATTTTAGGGTGCCTCCAGGCGTCAGAACAAGGCTGTCCTGCTCGCGTTTTATCCCCGATAGCAACCTATTTGTTTATTTACACTGGAAAACTTGTCCTGCAGTTTTTTTGTTAACGAAGCCATCGCACGTCTCATCCGCTGTGGGCATGTAACCAGAGACCGTTGCGGCTAGCATTAGAGGTTCATCATCTATTGGACGCCATGAACCACACAATTTGCGGGCTCCTGCAGTGGCGGGGCGAGCGCCAGTAAAATCATGCTCGTGGGCGTTCAAAGCAGTTAAACCAACATCAAGAAAAACCTCGGTGCTTCAGTCGGGGCTCATGCGTGTTCGTGATGAAAAGTCGAAGTTCTAATACATGATGATTTGCCATCAGTTTTTGTCAGTTTTGTACCTCAAGCGTGAAACGAGCGCTTTGAGACGCGTCAAAGAAGTGACTTCGTGCCGGCTGTGGGGTATGCACGAGCAATCAGGCATAGCATTGCGACAGGTGAATAGGATGGTGCGACTGGCATGCCTGCTTCTTACAGTGAGGAACAGGCATGCGGAGATCCCTATCAGACCATGAGGTCCGATAGTGGTCTCCACTGTCTGCTCTGACGTTAAATTTTTGTCTTTGTAGCACCCAAGCGTGTGCCACTAGCAGCGCTGTCAGTGACATCATTCATCCCTTCACAGTCACTCCACCTGGTACGCACAGTAGTTTCAACTTAAAAATTCCTCATGATGAGAGCACGGATAGTTCGAGCAGCCGAACAGCAAAGCTTTCAAGAACAGCACCGACAGCTATTCCATGCGAGGATTCATGTTCGCCGGACCAGTCCAGCAGTCCGGGGACAAGAAGAGGACCGGGTTGCGAAGCGCAACAGCCACTGTCTACCGAGGATCCAGTAGCCTTCCGAGCCGAATGCATGTGAAAGGGAAAGCCGAGGAAGTGGCGTTTCGAGCAGAGCAGGCTCAACGTGGCAAAGGCGGGAATGCGTTCGCCGGGCCCAATTCGCACGTTCGGTGGGAGGTCATCGAGTGGCGCTACAGCTTTGGCTGCGACGTCGGCACCCACCTGTAGCCGCATGTTCTAGCTTCTCCAGTTAACTACCCGTACGGAATTCTTCATTTGGTGAAAATAAATATTTTTTCCAAGATATAGAACAGCCGTCCGTACGTCTTCATTTTGTTAGCGTGGACACATTGTTTACGCGACGCGGTGCCTGAAGGATGCAGCGTGTGGTCGGTGGGAATTTTAGGGGACTCGCGAAACGGCACGGGGTAGACGGGGGTTGGGGTAAGAATCAAGTTTTGTGTTACCGTTTTGTGTTACCGGGAAATCATCAAGGGCAATTGTCTTCAACGTTGCAGAAAAAATAAGCCTACACAGGCAGTGCTAACACTGTGCTTGTGCGCGTCGAAAATCATTATCATTTACACTCCCTTACCCAGGTTTTCGATTATCATCATGCTTGAGAAACCGGGATTTCGTGGAACACTGGAACACTGGGAATGCCATTGGGATTCCCCGAACTGAAATGTTTGGAAACCCGAATCTAGGTGAATTCTAGCGAGAATATTCAAATTTAGGTGTGAAATCACTAAAAGATGCCGAAGCAACTCTGTGTAAAAGTTAGGCACAGTAGGCTATTCCCTGAATGCGGAAAGTGCGACAGTAGCAAAAGATAGACAAGTGTGTGGGTGGCAGCTTTAAGGTGATGCTATTGTGCAAAGTTCCGCAAAAGCTTCAACATTGTTACATAGGTCCCTCTGTCTAAAACAGACACATAATACGTAATACAACCTGCTTGCTATTACAGATAGCCCTGATCCTGAGCAAGGTATTAATTAAATTTCTGCATGGTAGTGCATATTACATTGAAAAAAATTTCTATTACCAGTCCAGATGAAGACAAGTAGAAGTCGTCCAACGAGACCAGCTTCCCGGCATAGGAGGACATGGTTATCGTGTGCCCAGGAATTACACCATCTGTAATATGAGTACACAATATGCATCAAAATATATAAATGCGAAGCATTTTTGAGCTAATTGTATAGACATCTTGAACGTATCTATCTATCTATCTATCTATCTATCTATCTATCTATCTATCTATCTATCTATCTATCTATCTATCTATCTATCTATCTATCTATCTATCTATCTATCTATCTATCTATCTATCTATCTATCTATCTATCTATCTATCTATCTATCTATCTATCTATCTATCTATCTATCTATCTATCTATCTATCTATCTATCTATCTATTTGTGCTCGTATGCGTCTGGGTGCTCTCGTGATAACCCCTCTAACTTGCCTAAACCAAAGCTATATGCGAGTAAGGGGGTAAAACGATGCTTGGCTGGCCATCAGATGTATAACGTGAAAACAGTGCCACAAAAGACGTCAGTTTCCTCCAGACACGTGTTTCACATGACCGTTTACCACTAGCCGTGGTATGCAGGTATGCGTCACACGTTATTCACCGTATACATCTACCGAGAAACGGCGAGAAAAGACATTGGCAGCGTTTACCTGATGAATGCAAATAATATATATCAGGTTGCCAGCAGGAATTGAACCCAAGCATTCTATGTGCGATCAAACATCCTACCACATAGCCACGTGAGGTCACCGAACGGCTTCGTAAAAAGACATGAAGCAGGCGTAATGTTGGCGCAATGTAAATGGAGGCTGCAGTGGTGGCTATATAATTTTACAAACATTACATATTTAGCCTATTACACAGGTGTCACGTTGGCTTAGCGTCAGTTCTATAGTTAGGAGCCATTAATCTAAGTTGGTTTGTGTAGTACTAAGTAGGGCTACTATCCTAGCGAGCAGAAGTGCTACATATCAACTTATAGCTTCAGGGTAATACCAATGTCGTTGTAAGAATCATTTTGCTTGGCCGTCCTACTGTTAAGCTGTACCTTACAAGTATATGGCATGCTCTACCCTCTCTTTTGTTTTTTAAAGACAATAGACTTTTTAGGAACCTTCGACGCAAAACTTTTGTGTTGGTAAGTCTGTCTGTACATTTGACTGTTTGTCCACCTTTAACGGTACCCTAAAAGACAACAGACGATATGCCAAACGGCTGATGCCATCCGCCGTGCCCACCAATATTGCTCAAGATTCAGCATTCATATTGTGCGATTGTCAATTAAAAAGCAATTATTGCACGTATCCGAGGCACCATAACAATACATCAATATTCTGTATGATTGTCTTTTACTAGAAAAGGCATACATAGGTAATTCTAAGGACCATAGCGTTTATCACGCTGTGCTGACCATGCAACCCTTGCACGAAAAGGCAAGCGTTTCGAACGCTTTGCTAAGAGGACACGGTGGTGGCACCTACCCGTCGCCGTGTGTTCTACACGTTATCGCCTCCGAGATGGGCGCACACGCCGCGCGCTTCGTTTTCCAAGATAACTGCTAGATAGCTCTGATATCTCACGTGTGGCGTTACTTGATGCGCTGTTCGCCTCCGCTGCACGCTCGAGGCCCTCTAACGCAGCGCCGCCAGAATACCATTCACCAATTTTCTTGCGCAGAACATCAAATAAACGTTTTGTTCACTCTCTCCAGACGCGATACTATCGTCTTTTGACGACATTTGCAGTGTTACATGCAGATACGGGCCCGATTTTTTTTCCCTTCTTCGTCATTCTTAGTTCCGCTTCCCACACCCTTGCTATACCACGCGAGTAGGCTATGCTCGGAGATTTTTTTTTTTACTTTTTACGAACACTCTGCATGTAAAGTCCAGAACAACCAATTTCGCTTTCACATGATTAGAATAATGACCCCAAAATGAAAAATGGCTGCATAAAATTGTCCTTTTCGTGCGACCCTCTAGAAATTTAACATCACTCAGTCGTATATCTTCCAAAAGTGCTAACTCAAAATTTGACAACAGAACGTAAACATGGCTGAAACAATTATCTCAGCCCTCAAAAATAGTAGAATTTTCTTATGTTGACCGAATGGCTGTAATTTAATTATTATAAAATGTTCAATAGCCTTCCCACTACCCCAAATGACAGTTATCCGAAATACGCTATCAGTACAGATTTATTTTTATTTATTCTTCAAATAGATGTACTTGCACTCTCAATTATAAGCCACGTTTGTCAGCTGAGTGAAATTTAGATGCAAAGCTGGTGTTAATTTTTCTTGCGGCGTAATAAGGTACGCTAAATTACGGATCTCAACAGCTCTGTTATCAATATCTGCTGCCCAACAAGGGTTAGTTGCATGAAAGATGATTCATTCCCGTGAAACAAAAATACATTTTACCACCATTTGTTGGTTTCACAAAGAACGCAAGGGGGTGAAAGGTTTATTATAGGAAAAAGTACCACTCACTCGTTTGTAGCACGCAGCTCCACAGAAATACTATGATTTTTAGAAGAAAAGTGCTTTTGACAAAACAGTGGCCTGGTGCGGATTCGAAACTATAGGACTAAGGCGTTTTTTAGAGGCAAGCAAGGCCATCGTGTTTCGTACAGCCCCTTCCTTAGCAGAGTTTGCCTTCTAAAAGCAGTGCGCGCTTTGATTTTGCTGAGCAATAATAGATATGGTTTTGCATGATGAAACTACAGTGCCATTAGGGGAAGAGTGGGTGCCCTAGTGAAGGTATTGGTATATTGCGATTAGCTGGAGTTCTTCACGATGTGCCTAAATATGAGTGCGCAGGTTGTTCTGATTAGGGTTTCATATAGATGCACCCAGGGTGGGCGTGGTTGGACCCCAGTCTTCCGCATCAACAGCCCAGTTAACCAACTAGCCTCATTCACGAAAGTGACCAGCCCAGTAATAACCATCGTTAAACCACACTATTCTCGTGGTAGTGAGTTTCATCACTGCGTCATGCAGTCTCACCTGGTCCAGTGTCGCCAGGCGCATAGTGCCAGGGAAACTTGTACATCTTTTGAATTCTCAGCATACTCTTGTACAGGAACCAAGTGTCATGGCCCACGTAGAGGTCTGTGTTGTTCCAAAGCAATTTAATCAGTGCTGAGCATGCGGGCACAAGACTCAAAGAGTTTGCGTCTTCAGGGCGCTGCAACGCGGCTTCAAGGTCGAGGATGTCTCCAACAAGGCTGAAGTACCTGCAAAATAATTAAAAGTATGGCAGCTGCAGTGGCACCAGGTCGGATGTAGTAGCGGAACTCGTGGCGCTGCTCTGCTTCTCATCCGAACTTCCAAAATTCTTTCTTTTTAGGAGGCACTTTATCTTTCTTTCTGTATCGAGGAACTTATCTCCCTTGATTTTATTCTCTCTCTTACTCGGCATAGTTTTCTGCTTGCCGATCGTTTTATGGTTTTCGATTTCATTATTGCTCTCTGCCCCACTCAGTTCCCACCTTCTCAACTTCATGCTTTTCGCCCTTTTATTCGCTTCAATTGATGATGATGATGATGATGATGAGCATTTGCTTTGCTGGCATTTGCCCGCAAATGGGGATCAGCCAAGAACCGGTTGGCAGGATCCTCAAGTTAGTCATGCATCAAAAATCATTAAATAGAATTTCAGTATAAAGCAAGAACAAATCATAAAAATATATGAAAACGCTACGTGAGCAAGCAGTCAGGAATTCATATAGTCTCGCAGCCAAAATTATTAATAATAGACTAACTAGGCAATATTTTTGTTACCATTACGTACGCACACACACCAAAGCAAACATTCATTTGGCAATAACATAATGTAATTAGTTCAAAGGATAAAATTACTGCCTCGTTTATTTTTAAACCTAGCTTCTCAATTGATTCGACAAGGTATCTTTTTCTTTGATAAGAATGTTGGTTACAGGATAAAAATAAATGATTTATTTTTCTAATTCCTTTCAGAACACGCATAATGGAGATGCTGCGAGTCCAGCTTTACTTAGGTAATAGTTCAGGTGTGGAATTCTGCATCGTATTCAGGTAATTGTAATTTATGACTGCATGCCGAGATACGTACCACTGTTTCTTCTAGCAAAATCTTATATAAACAACGTCTCTGGCTTTATCTAATGATAAGTTGCCTATTTCCTTGTGCTATCTATCTATCTATCTATCTATCTATCTATCTATCTATCTATCTATCTATCTATCTATCTATCTATCTATCTATCTATCTATCTATCTATCTATCTATCTATCTATCCACCAACGACTTTTAGCTCTCCGGGCCGTTTCGATAATGGTATCGATAACATACTTAGTGTGGTACAACATGATTGTATGAAGAACATATTTGACCAGTCATTACATGAAACTCATGACATGTATGTGATGATTGTCATGATTTACATTTCATGGTCGTGCAGCTCTTGCGGCGGTTTCGTTCACATGGCATGTTGCAAAAGTAGTATATGGTATGACATGATTGCATTCGGAATACAAGCGACCGACTGTAACATCAAAACCATGACATGCGTGTCATGTAAGAACATGACTATATGCCATGCTCATGATGCGCTCGAGGCCGTTTCGCTAGCGTCACATATACCAAATTTGGTATTACGGTACGTCAATGGATGACGAATGTATGTGAGTGGTGGAAACATGATAATCATGAGATGCGTGTTATGTAACAACATGTCGACATGCTACGCTTATGATGTGCTCTTTGTCGTTTCGCTAGCTTCACATGTACCAAACACGGTATTATGGGACGCGTATAGGTGACATAGATAAACGACCCATCCAAACATGATAATCATGACATGCGTGTCATGTAACAACAGGATTACATGCCACACTCATGATGCGCCCGCGGCCGTTTCGCTAGCCTCACATACACCAAATTTTGTATTGCGTGACGTCAATGGATGACAAAGGTATGTGACTGGTACAAACTTGACAATCGTGAGATGCGTGTGATGTGAGAACATGACTACATAACTCAGTCAAGGCGCCAATACATTTCGACGTGACGCGGTGCGCGTGCTCGCCGGCGTTTATTTCGTCGCGTCACGCCGGCGTTGCCATGCCAGTTGCCAGTCCTGCCATATACTCGCAGGCACGCGCTGCGCTGCGTTGCTTTGTCGCATGCGCGTTTCAGCGCGTCCAGCGTCCCTCCGTCCCGAAGAGGGAGACGCAGTGTTGTCTGGGTATCGCATCGGCATGAAATGCAGCATGTCGCATTTAGCGCTGGTTGCCGTCGCGCCGCGCCGACGGACGCTGGTCACGCTGGTCACGCCTGGCGTGAGACTATAGAGTGCTCGCGTTCTGCTAACGTATCGTCGCTGTGCCCAGCGTGCGCGTGCGTCAACGCTACATTGGATTATACAATTGGGCCCTTCATGATGCGCTCGCGTCTGTTTTCCTAGTTCCACATATACCAAATTTGGCGTTACGCGACGTCAGTGGATGACAAAAATATATGACTCGTGCAAACATGATAATTCTGACACGCGTGTCATGTAAGAGCATGACAACATACCACGCTAATAGCGTGTTCGTGGCCGTTTCGCTAGCTCCCCATATACTACATTTGGTATGACGTGACGTGAATAGATGACGATGGTAAACGGCATGTCCAAACACAATAATTATGACACGGAATTGATGTACGGCATCCTTTACCTCCACTTCGTAATGTTGTGTTGATTTTAGAGTGACATATAAACCTTCCTCATGCGTGGTTCGCATAGTATCGATTCCGACTGCACGTGGGATCCGCCAATTTTCTATCGTTGTAGAGATCACCCCATCAGGTCCGGGAGCAGCGGGCGGTAAGAACTTTATAAATTCGCCAGTTTAGGTGGAAATACCTCCTTGAAATCATCAACCACCTTTAATTTCACAACCGCCTTTTGGCGTAATTGTCGTAAACCTAATTTGCAAGCCTTTACCAATATTTTGCGAAAACTTTTGCGAAGAGGCATAATGGCGGAATCAGTGCTCTCTGACCATGGAATCATTTTTCTCGCGCGCGAAAACCTGAAAAGCGCGTTTTTATTTTTAGACTTAGACAAATTTTGAATTTATTCATGTCATATTTTTTTTTCTTTGCGCACTGTACGCTTGAAATCAGCGGCCATGAATTTAAAATCACACCAATTTTCGGGGCATTGGTTAATTAACAGCTTTTTCCAAGCCGCTTCTAGCTTTCTATACCCCCTGACACAATCTACATTCCACCACAGACTGAAAGATCCCGCTGTGTCCGAGTTAATAGTTAACGTTTAATTTTTATTGATCGTTCCAACACCGCACACAGACTCAGAGTCCTAATGTCTCCCTGCATTTCCTCGCGAGAAATTAACGTAGGTTTTAAATGTTTTTGAAGTTTACCATAATTTACAAATGAGCCTACTTTTCCTGCGAAACTTGACCTCGGGAACATCCTTTCAAAACTAAGAGGAAGGTGATCACTAGGACTAGCACAATCTAAGATATTCTACGAGGATATGCTTAAAGTGGAGCTGGAAAATGTAAAATTTGTAGTCGATTTAGAGTTACCTTTTACAAATGTAGCAGCACGTGTGTTAAAGCAGGAATTCTTTTACCAAGCGTCCATTCCCACAAACGTCGTCCACATAAATCAGGTCTGAAGCCCCAAGACACATGGTGTGAATTGAAATTAACACACAGTATTATATCTTTTATGCACGAAGCTAACATGATATCAAGACATCCCATGTACTGAACTTCTGCCGGAAAGTATACATTTGCAAAATAAAAGGCAAGCAGTCTGTTAGTGTTATGTCTAGGACCAAAGTTTAGCAATCCGTATCCATGCACTGATACGATTTCTCGACTTTGTGACTAAACTTTGTTGATATTAGAAAAGCCAGACCACCACCTCTACTCGTTCGATCCAGCCGAATTAACCGATAATGTTTAGGTAAAAAGTTTTATTGTTAGGAAGCCAGGTTTCCGGAATAGCAATAATGTGTGGATAAATTTTCGAAGAAATATATTGTTAATCTGTAATTACCGACCAAATAGATCGGCAATTCCACTGCAGAATTTTCGGTGAACCTATTTTGATGCTAGGCCAGCAGTAAAAACTGCCTGGTTCAGAATATCTTTTTCAAGAATTAATGTTTTTGATATGTTTTCAAATAATTTTTTCTTTGACAGGTATTTTTTTCATTTAAAGTTCTGATGAGATTTTTTTAAGAGGGAGATCTATTACGCTTCAGAGTCCTTTAGGATTCTGTGTTCATATTTGTGAAGTCTTCTTAATCATCTGTTACGGGTTCTGACTCCACCTGAACTATATTTTAGAAGGGCCTGCTTGCGGACAGACAGATCTACGATTGACTGCCAGATTTTCCTCCTCAGTACTTCTTGAAATCAACAAAACCTGCGAATCCTGATTTTGCACAGAAACTGTACCATTAATTTCACTCAGTTGTTGAGCTAAGACGTTAGTCAAGGCTTCAAAAAGAGTAGACGCCAAACACTCCATCGCTTTTTCAGTAAACTTTTTAGTGGCCTTCGTCATCGACATTGCGAGTGATGCATCCATGGTGCGAGTGATGCATCCACCACGCCGACTATGCCCTTCGTACATGCTAAATGAGCTGGAATAAATGAGATCACTGGCTGTGCAGCTCATTCGGAACACTTTAGAAGCTCTTGGACGAAATCCCGGTCTACAGAGCAGCACAGGATACCCCCATCGGCTGAACGGCGGACCTCAGTGATCTCAAAATTTGACGAGGCTTTGCGAAGCTCCACTTGAATCGCCTTCGGATTTTTTGGCTGGAATGGAACTTCCCTTGGTAAGAACCAGAGTCACAGGGACGCAGTGTGTTCACTGCGACACAAGAAATCAAGCGGCCAATCCTTGACCGTCATTCAGGTTAGCCTAGGGGAGTGCTCTTGACCAGGTGATAAGAAAGACAACAGGATAATCTGACTTGCCTGATTTTTCGAGAATTGCAACAATGTACCAGTTAAAAGAAAGCAACAAGAAACACGAGAAGCCAGAAAACAAACTCTTGGATCTGCCAGATTCTGCCACACGACTCGACAAGAATCCACGGGACGTTCTTCTTCCACTGTCACGATCTTCCACAGTCACTTCCACTGTCACGCCCCTTCAGTACTTGTGCTCTGCCAGTCACTTCCAATAAGATGTTGTGTAGGCGGTTTAGAATCTCACTTCGCGTAAAAGTTTAATCCTCACAATTGTTCCTGTAGTGTACTTGTTCTTGTTGTTCTGTTTTTTTACCTCTATATATGTGTCTTCTTCCTCACCGGTGTTATTGTATTCATGACGTAAACTTCTCTGTTTTGGGAGTGAAGTTGAAGGTAAAGACGACGATGAAGATGAGTGAGGAGACTTACTACCATTACTTCTCCGAATATTTTGTCCTATGAGGCTGCTTCATTAGGACTTAGTGACGCCCTCTCCGAATCTCTATGTGACACAAAGAGTTAGTTTGCTGAGCCATTGAACCGCTTTTGATTTTGACTAACCCATCTTATATTTAGTATTTCATTATTGTACTTTATTGACTTGACCTTGAGGAGGATTTCATATAATGATTACACCTCAGTTATTCAAGAAACATAATATTTCTTTTCTTTCATTTTTTTCTTCACTCTGTGCGAAAAGAATCTCGTCATGTCAAAACAAAGTATTTTTATTTGCCTAGCTTGGATATTTCTAAGTAATCTTACACTAACCGTCGGCTTTTTGGCCTGTCTCCTTAGAGGGTAAGAGCCACAAGAAAGGATCAAGCAAGAAAGCAAGCAATGAAGAGTTTGCGGGTTGGTCCATGGTTATGTGTTTTCAGTGACACCGCACAAAATATGTCAAGCAACGATAGCTTCCCCGCTAAACAGAACGTCTTGTAATACAAGGGTTAACAATCAGGTCAGTCGAAATGAAGTCCGCGGGGACACACTATGGTCATATAAGTCTGATGTCTACAAAAACAGAGATTGGGAACATGAAACAGAAGTAACCCTCAATCATAGATAGCTACTCTAACTAGCTTGCGGCAACCTGTTTTATGCTTATTCATAAATAACTTGTAGGTTATACTCATTTTCAGCCTGACCACGCCAACTGCTGGGAAAAGGCCTCTCCAATGTTGCGGTAATTAACCCAGGTCTCAATATACACACCTCTTTAATTATTGCTTTTTCCAAGTAATTTTGTCGTAGAGGCTGTAAGAGAAGGCATATCTGTTTTTTGCAGAGGATTAGGTGTTCAGGACTATAATCGACGGCGCACCACGAATGGTTCTGCACGGCTAAAATAATTTTTCTTATTGTGTTGTCAAAAAGGCTTACAAAGCTCTGGTGATGTTTGTGAATTCTTGGGATGCGTCAAGAGTGGCGTTTTCAAATGCGTCACTCAGGCCATGAAGCTGCTTCATTTGGAGGCGCACCTGTTGAATGAAAGAAAGAACATTTGTGTACACTCTCTGAAAACGCTCCTCTGAGATTGCACCTAATCGACCGGTTTCCGCTAAGACATCTGATGTGCTGGCTGATGATCCTTCTTTTTCTGCTTTTTAAGAACTTAATTTTTGAATGTGCAAGAAAAACGGTAGTTAAACTTGTTTGAGATTACTGGCTGCTTTGAACGCTATCGGTCATGATAGTTTACTTTCGAAAAAACCTCAATGTTCAAGGTATTTGAAGAGAGTTGATATTATCTCTGTAATTGACTTGTAACACGCATGCACCAATTTATACCTGTGTCGATAAACAACATAAGGCAAACTATTTTAGACAGGCTTCTCTCATTGGAAGTTTTTGGGTCAGCCTATTTTGGTAATTTAGGTTGACAAACTATAGTGTCAATGAAACGGTTCAAGGTTCAATTTACCGTATCTTCTCAAGCCTCTACTCATTAGTGTATGTTTACAAATGGTAAATAGACCCAACTAAACGCTTTCAAGAACAAAGAGCGATTCTCCTTACTCTGAAATAGAAATAAAATATTAGCGTTGCTACTCTGTTCCATGCAGTCTCGTGTAATGTACGTCCAACACAACTAGAACGATTTAAATAACTCGTCAAATATGTTTCCCGAACTGTGACACACGTATGTTGCCTTTGCATTGTTGATGCCGTCCATGTACTTTCGTATATTGAATGTTATTTTCCATGAGTGAATGCATAATTCTCACTTGCAGTACTCTACAAAGAAAACAATTTTTTTGACAAAGAACTTCACAAAATTAGTTTGCGAAGCTATATGTTTTTGCCACAAAGTGCTATAGCTCTAAAGTATTTTGGCTAGAATCAAGGTCCAGAATTAGGCGTTAATTATTACATATGGCACGCAAATATGGTAATTAAGAAACGTTCGTCAAATTGTCGTTGTTTAAAATAGGACGCATTCCAGTTGCGATGTGCCCCGCCGTGGTGGTCTAGTGGCTAAGGTACTCGGCTGCTGATCCGCAGGCCGCTTGTTCGAATCCCAGCTGCGGCGGTTGCATTTCCGAAGGAGCGGAAATGTTGTAGGCCCGTGTGCTTAGATTTTGGTCCACGTTAAAGAACCCTAGGTGGTCGAAATTTCCAGAGCCCTCCACTACGGCGTCTCTCATAATAAAATGGTGGTTTGGGAACGTTAAACCCGACATATCTATCAATCAATCCAGTTGCCATGTGAGCCTCAGAAAGTTCTAGTGCACCACCCATGTACAAGTGTTCGCTATTTCTGCGCAATCTGACATGGTAACGTCTCTGTACGTCAACACGCAGAAAACAGGGCACCCCGAAACATAATCGTGTGCTCACTGCTTCTCAGTAACAATATGAACTAGCAGTACCCCATGCCGACTCATTGAGATGCTGGATCCACGATAAAAACACAATTTCAAGTCATTGAAATCACCTTTGCTTTGCTTTGGGACAGATGACACAATTGGGCACACTTCGACAGTGGCACCATATCTTCGAACCAATCATTCCGTTTTTTGAGTAGACCTCTTTGAAGACCAGATGTTTCAAGACCTTTTGACCCGCATCACATCTTTGATAGCGTCAATACGCCATGCCTGTCAACGTAGGAGTGTGAGGCGCTCTTGTTCTATGGGTCCAGTGAAAAACCACTGGTTTGTATGCTGTGCAAAATAGTGAGATAGTGAGGAGAAGCACTAGAAATTAGCCCTGTAGAAACATACCTTGTCTCCTGCTGAAAATAAGTAAAGATATTTCTCCGACAACGTTGACTGCTTTCTGACCTTAGCGCAATGGCACACACATAAAGGAAATAGATTCATCCAACTACGTAGAAAGTATTGCGAGACTTGAGAATTGCTGCTGCAGAAGTAATAACTGCACTAAAATTATTGAAGGAAAGCTCATAATAACATCAAATTGCGCTGTTGCAGAGCCGCCAGTTTCCCGTATCTTTCATTGTCACGTTTTACGAAATAGAATCTATGATACGTGAATCACTTCTTTTTTAGCGTGCGGGGGGGGGGGGGAGGGGTGATGCCATTTACAGTGCGCCGAAAACTCAAATGATTGTTCTCGCTCACCTATATAAATTTTTGTATTATTATATATTAAAATAAATAAATGAAATGTTGCATTTATATGATATGCATCTACCAAAACTACAATATACACCGCCTTTACTGCAGATTAACAACTTTTAACCTCAAGGGATTTCAACAACGGTTGCTTATTTACTTCTCAAAAGTCTTTAACGCTGCTTTTTGTTAAAACACTTCTGTCATTACTGGTAGCAATCTTTTCACAGCCTACGTAATACGAACTACGACCCTCATCAAAGTAAATGGTTGTATTAAATGTCAGCTACTGTATTCCAAGGAGTGTTACTTTTTTCGTACCCCGCGATGCTTTCCTGCCTATGACACTTGTCCACACAGAAACGTCAGGCATTTTATTTTCAGCTGCTTTAAAGCAATACGTTACCCAAATGTTATGAATCGCTCACCATGTTCCAGTAAGGATCACTGACGCTCAGGCGCTTCTCGTTGAGATACGAGTACTCGAGGTTTTTCTGCAGAAAGTCGTTCAGTTTTGTGCAGAACTCCGCCTGGTTGTCGCAGTAGTGGGCGAACATATTTTCCCACTGTGCCTCCATGAGATAGCGAGTCAGATACGCTTCCAGCGCACCAGCAGCGTACGCCTGCAATTCGTCCGTTACGTTCGGGCTCGATTCAACCTCAAGGTAGCCCCACCTGAAAAAAAAAAAACAGAACTTGATTCATCTACAGGCCTCACGTTTGAGACACTTATTTAGCACATGGCGAAAATGACCCCATTGTTCTAAATCGCACCTCTTCCAGTTAGTCTGGTCTGTGAACTAGCTATGCTCGTGTTCGCTTTTTCGTACTCCTCCTTTTCCTACAGTTTGTGCAGAAGTGGCGTCCCCACTGGTGTTTGCGTTGTGAGCGTAACCGGTACAGTTAACGCGAACGAAATAGAGCGGACGCAAAGTCTCTCGGTATCACGAGCCACTGGCTTCAACATGACGTGACAGGACAACAATTTAGGTCCTGAGGAACAGACATTTAGAAGAGCCGTAGCCCCCCCCCCCCCCCCCTCATATCAAGTCGGTCTCTCTATATCATCAGTCTCGCAATATCATTCTCGTATTCGCGTACCGCAGCCATCGTTCTCAAACGCCACTGGCTTCAATCTTCACTTTTTTTTCCTCCTTCACACAAGCTCGAACCTCAACCAGAGCTCATGCGCATTCAGGGCTGTAATGTACAGGACGACAGGCTTCGGTGGTTGTAACGAGGCCATCGCCGTTTCACTTAGTTCGCAATGACTGCACTGCACAGAGGTGTGGGCATGGCACTCCAGCACTGACAGTTTCTCTGAATATATGTAATCAGTGTTACACAACTATGACTGCGGAAGCCCAAAACTTCGAACACAGTCGGCCTTGCCGAAACACGAAGCCGCGCTCATAATCCACTTAGGCAGTATCAATATTGTCGATGTTTTTTTAAGGTGCAATCGAAATATTTGCGTAATGAACAAGAATGCATAGAATGTCTTTGCAGTTACACAAAATACTGCATACACGGCGTTTGTAGATATAGGCCATTATTATGATATTGCTTACCATCATTTTGGTATACACGGTGCTACATTCAAGTCAAGAATTGCACTCGCACAACTGCTCTCCTCGTCAGCGTTACCTGACGCTCGTTGGGGCTATATGTTAAAACTGGTTGGGCGAAGAATCGTCTTGCTCAGTTTACTAAACAAAATAGATGTAGGGATTCACGATTTATGATTTATCAGGAGCGCAAATAGTGTTAAAACAGAACGAATGACCGTGGACAGGCATTGAACCTGCGATTTTCGAATAACGTGTCCGATGCTCTACCAACTGAGATATCACGGCGGCCATGTCCCCGTATCCTCTTTGGCGCGTTTATGTGCACTGAACGTGGGGCGCCAGTCAGATTGAGATACGTTGAAAATGACAGAGTAATTTGCATTCGAAATGTTTCGCAATAAGCAAGGATGTCCAGTGTGTTTGTACAGTATGTTTGCAGTGTGTTTGTACAAATACTACATGCAGAGTATGCATAGGTTTTTAGAGAAAGGGTGCACCCGTCAACAGATATAGGCCATCAGATATAGGCCAAGTGTAATGCCTTTGCGTCCATTCTTTCTTTTACTAATAACCGAAAACGGTCACCAAAGATTTAGTGAGAGGTTTCTTGAAAAGCTATTAAACCTAAGGTGTCACCTAACAGGACCAGAATGCGAACACCACCTTCTACTTTTGCTTCTTACTCAATCTTTTAATACCATATACTCCCTTCCGAAAGATTTCTACTCTAAACTCGGTTTTGCGTTTCGTCTATAGTCGGAGGCATTGCAAATTTTCTGCACCTCATCCGTTTATGCACAGCATTCATTGTCGCCCCTTCTTGACCAAGTGACGATAATATGTGATGAGGTCATCATGTCGTGGCACAACAAAGTCGAGAGATGACGTAACATATTTTGGCGGCATGTCGCGTTATATTGACGTTTTATGGAAACGTAATCACGTTAGGAATTTTGTATCAAACATGCTTATGTTGAAGCTGAAGGAGCCCACGGTCAATTTTCCCGTTGAATGAGGAATTAAGGCCCTGGCGCCAATAACTCAGTGGATAATATTTTGCTTGAATAATATGGTATCTTCTTCAAGTATAACGCGGTGAAAGATGAAACCTATGAAGCCGGCTTTAATTGCATTCTCATAACCACATGCACCCGTTAAATGATTTAGTAAAATTGAGATGAGGTATCTTTGTCAGCCGTTGATTGCCGTCTTCGGAATATGTGATAGTGGCTGGGATACGTTCTCGAGGGCACCCTATCTATGGCAACGTTTGCGCCCATCTCCAGTGGTTTGCATGTAGCCGTAGAGTGTAGTATTATTTCAGTACCATGAAATTGAACAATCCACTCTTACATTAGTTTTGCAACGCGGGCAAAAGGCCGTCTAACTAGCCACAGTGGTCCAGTAAATACTCGAGTTCTGACCTGAAGGGTGTCTAATGAAACCCTGGTGATGAAGCCGCATTTTCGATGGAGGCGGAAATGTTTGAGCTATACGCACCTAAATGTAGACGCATGCTAAAGAAGTTCAGGTGGTCAAAACACGCTCAGCTATAAACTACGCCGTCTTTGATAAATATATTGTGGTTTCGCGTCGCGAAACCATAACAATGTTTATTCAAAAGGCTTTTTATGATTCAGTTATACGAGTCCACTTGTGCAAACGCTAGTGCGTTGTCCAGTAGGCAACGCACTTGACTTCGGTTTGTAAGGATTTGAACCCTGGGTTAAAGGTTACCACTGTCTACTAACTTTGTTTTGTTTTGTTCCTGTACTTTCTTTAGGGCACACACCGTCTTGCGTGACAAGGCACTATTTGTATAAATGTGAACGAATGGCAGAACACTACAGTCGTTGAATCGGCGCAAAAATGTTCATGATATAGAAACTGAAAAGAACATGTATTTGACTGGAACATTGAACCAACTTCCTCGACTCACCCGCTGTTTTGGGTATCATCACGGAAGTTAGCCCAGGCCACCGGAGCCAGTGACGAGGTGGCGCCATTGCGAGAAGTGGCCGGTGGCTTTCCTTCGTATATGACGATGCGACTAGTTCCAAGTTCGGGGGCGGCATAAGCCCACTTGCATTCTATCGCTTCACACGGGGCCGAAATACCGACCTGGACACAAAGCCAAAAAAAGATGCCGGCGACCACCCGTGCGTGCCCCATTTTTGAGCTCGTGGGTCACAAAAGAACTGAAAGAAATCGAAAAAATATATATACAGCCCAAGTAGTAACATACATATTTAAGTTGACGCTTCAGAAATGTTAGGCGGAACGTAGATTAAATAGCAAGTGGATTTCGTAACTAACAGAGAGAGAGAGAGAGAATTATTTTAATGAGGGGCTGGAGAGGTGTGCCTGGTTTTTCACCTGACAGGCTACTCCAGGTGCCAGGTGATGACAATAATATATACAATGATAAATACACAGCACATACAGTTACATAAACGCATAAGAGTCACATAACACATACAGTCATTCACACGCACTGCGCTATTTACAACGTTTCGTTCAAGTCTGTGGCCCGTAAGAATGTCAGTAGCGCTTTTGTGGAGTCTAATGCACTGGAGCTGTTCTGTCATAAGCCTAGAATATTTTAGGCCCACGGCAGAACACCTCCGGTGGGTGACAAGGCTTTTGCCTAACTGTCTGTAACGTATCTAGAGATAATCTAACGGTACACTAAATACCTGGCGTGGTTCATGAACAAAAAAAGTCTTGACGGATCCTCGAGCTTCACCTTCAACAATAGAGTGCGATAATCGCGCGCATCGATTCCCCAAATGCTAGCCTTGCTTAGGTCCATGCCTCTACAATGTCGCAATATAGCGAGCATCTGTGTGCGTAAGACAGGCAAGTTGGATATATCCTAGAATGCTTGCAGCAAGTACAGTTGTGCACTGCACACTAAGCTATACTTCTTCCTTTTGTGAATCAGCGAAGGGATCACCACGACTCCGCAAAACACATAGTGGGCTCTCTGTGTTGTTGCTTTTTCATTTATTTTTTGTATAATAAACACGTCTGAGCGCTTTGTAATAGGTGGACCATAAAAAAACCGACTCCTTTGGCAATTCACAGGTATAGACGCCTGGCAAAATATTATGCTCCTGCAACGTGTGCAAAGGATACTTCCCCTAATGCATGATATCCGTGCAGCGTTTCTTTGTGGAGCATGATCAAACAACGTCACGGGCCTTTGAGAGAGCACTTCTGCGCCAAGCAGACCACATGGGTTCAATTCTCAGTCATATTAAACATTTTTAATTGTTTCGTTTGCATCTTTCTAAACGTTTCGGTCTGAGACATCTTTCGCACACAATCACCGACGCCAGTACCGACACCATCATGCCTGTAAACGTATCTGTCTAACCCTAATGCATTAAATCATGCAAACGTGAACTCAGCCTCATGTTTCATTTTATATTACAAAGTAACATTTTTAAACAGGCAAGATCTGTAATGTTTGGGACTTCATATGCCAAAAGAACGTCGATTGATATACATGCCCTAATAGGTACTCAGAAAGCTTTGACCGTCTCATGTCCATTAACATGCTCCAATATGGCAAATTACACAGGCCTCTAACCATTCTACTCCATAAAGGTTTGCCCACCGTGGCTAGAATCGCACCCGGGAAATTCTGGTTAGCAGCCTAGCACTGCACCCTAGCACTGCAGCTAGAAACAAAAAGAAAAGTTATGTAGCTGTGCGAATGTTTCGTGTTCAGCGCAGAATTACTGTTCTTGTAGACATTATTACAATACGATTCTCTTCATATCTATATCACAATATACACGCAAACAGTAACAGTAGCGCTGCAATATAATTAAATTGATAGGCCAATTATTGAAGACCTCTAAGGAGTCCTGTACTGGGCGCGTTCAAAGCCGAGGTGACCAGGGACGGAGGTCGCAGCACAAGGACCCGCAGTGACGATACGCACGCTCCGCGTCCCCGACAGAAGTTATCCCGTTTATTCATAGATCACGCTCTATCTAAGCATTCCAATAAGAGCGCCCCAGAGCAAACAACTGGAGGGATGGATATCACGTGCCGTCTACAAGTACTGCACAAATACGTAGATAAGGAGAACTAGAAAGGACAAAAACTGCTGATTTTAAGGCACGAATGCCCATCAGTCTGACCAACTTGTCGCATTTCTTTAGCATTATCTGTTAACAATTTTATTCACTTCGTCTAACACAACCGACAGCAGCTGTGGACGTCGCGACGACATTAGCTCTGTAATTTTGAACAGGTTTGTGAGTGCCATGTATCTTTTTTTTTACAGAGCTATATTGCACGCAGAAAACAATATGCCCTTTGTGGAATAGAACGCTATTAGAAATGTATTGTGCATTGTTTTTAAAACAACCGTAACCATGTAAGTATTTGGCGGCCATAGTTGGCCCACCCATAAAAAATTTTCGAGGAATAAATGAATCACGTGTGGTAACATCATTAAAATCATGTGACCATTACCTACTAGGAAAAGTTCTAAATTTTCTTGAAAAAAACTCCTCCCAAATGAAATTATTGAATATATGGTGCGAGCTGTAAATTTAGGGCTTATTAAAGAGAAATTTTCATTTCCAAAATCAGCAGCGCCTGTGTTTTGTAATTTCGTCGTGGCGCGTTTACGGTATTTGAAGTAACAATGTTCCCTACCACCAAGCCTACTAACCACCATTCAGAAAATGAATTTCGCGCGTGCTTTGCATGAAACACCGGCAGTTAGTTGCATGACAGACTCACTTGCTGTATTTTATGTATACTGAGGCTACGTTTTTGTCGATGTGGTGTCCTGGTTTTCACGTTTTTGGTGCAGTGCTTGATATAAATAAAGCACAAATTTCTTTAGCAGTTGATTATTTTTGGTAAAGGAAAATGGACACTCGAAGATGCATCTACTGTGCCGCAAAGCCTAACTTGGGCGCGATTAGTATGGTTGTTCGATAGGAAGTTCTTGGGAAGAACTTTATGAAAATTTTCGCTCAGGGGTTTAGCTTCAACGGCCGCCTGGACAAAGGTCATGGCCATATCGCAGTTGATGAGATGTTTTCAGAGACAAACTGCATTTCGAACGCTGTACTGATTTGGTAATATTAGGAAGCTCTTTCGTTTGTTCAAAAAAATTAGAAATAATGAACATGCTTCTGAAATGATTTCATGCTGTGTAATATTAATGAAAACTATCAAAGGTTACGAGGAAAGTATAGCGAATGTCATGAGAAGTAATTCTAATGTAAATGCGAAGAATTAAACGTGGGTGGAAAGATAACTTGCCTCCAGTCCCTCTTAGTGGCAAGTCCTTGGCATAAATGGCTGGTATTTATAACAACGACATTGTGTATAGCAAACAAAAACAAACCCTTGCATTTTTACTGCATTCCTATAATTATATGGTCTAGAAAAACCAAACATCAAATTTGTACATATGCTCCACAAGTCATGAGTGTAAAATGGAATATAGAGGACACGAATCGCTGCCTTGCGACTCCTTGCATTTTAAAAAATACCTAATTGTGCAATAACTAATGAACGTTCATTGCTTTATTCGTGAGATTCAGGAAAATATCTTAGATACCAGTAGTCTAGTATCAACATGAGTGTGACGCGATTAAGTGTAACACGGAGTGTTATTGACACATGAAACAAATTTTTAAAAGGGAGGAAACGAAGGGGGCGTTACCACAAGTGATACTTAGGTGAAACACAGAACACTTCAAAAACACAATGGTACTGGATGGATCACGTTAAGAGCCCCTGTGTACCTAAACATTGGCATAAACACGCATATACCCAGATTGTGCATGCACAGAAACGCAGAAAATGAGTCTGCCGATAAGAAATAGTACAGCAGCTCAATTTATTACGTCTATTGTGGCTTGTCGGCTGGGAACCTGTATAAATATGTATAGGCATGATGAAGTTTTACCAAGCACTACGTTTTCCGAAACGCTGACTTCTATACAACGTCACAAAAGCTTGCCATGAGACAGATGAATCGCACTTACCAACGCAGGAAAACGCCCGCATCCGACTGTCTTCTCTGCTACGAAGCTGTCTTATCGCAAGAGGCCGGCATCACGCGCGGGCACTCTGGAATCCGTTGTGAACACTTCAGAGTCGGCGCTTCCGGGCAAAGGGCGCACTGCGATACAAGGGCCTTTCAAAACGCGATCGCCTTTTGTACTTTTTCTCCGACTGCATTACGAGACGGAGAAGGGTAAAGGGAAAGAACGCAGGAACTCATTTGCATGCCGCTGCGTTTTTCTTTCAGTACTCACATTCTGTGCTGTTGGTCAGAAATCTCTGACCTCGTATAGCCGGCTTTTTAGTCCAGTGGGAGCCGGGGAAGCGCAAAGATGGGGGGAGACGCCTTTGGAAAAGGAAGCCATGTATTTATAGAAGGTCTCTCTCCTACGTGTCGCATATATGATTTCAAAAGGTCACCTTCCATCAGCTGTCAGGAAACATATCGATACCAGGCGTTGTACTCTTTACACCGCCATCTCTGTTCTCCTTCCCCGCTCTGGAAGGTCAGTAGAAAAAATCCAGCGTTTCGGAGGAAAAGACTTTGCACTACCTCAAAATCACTTCACGAGTGTCAAAGATTCCAACACAACGCCATGCGTGCGCATTGTCATCAAGCTTCTCTCTGATGCAGACAGCTGTCCATAGCCACTTCAAGGCTCCTGAACTTCATCTGTATATGCTCCTCAAGGATGGCCATCACCAGAACATCTACTTCAATCCGCGCAACCTCTTCTTCTTGTGGTCTCCGCCTCGGCATGTCCCCAAGTCCGAAATATACATGGGTCATTCCATATCAACTAGATCCGCTAAATTGTCGCCAATCTTCGATCCTGATGAAAAACTCGGACGAGAATGCGTGAGTGCAAGAAGTAATTAATGTGGTGTTATATTTCTAAAAAAAGTGTGTTGTGTAGAGGGCACTTAAAACTTTGGGCACCCAAGTCAAGCTGTATCACGCTAAACAATTTATGTAATATTACAGGTTCGCCCTACTGCGGTGGTCTAGCGGCTCAGGTACTCGGCTACGACCCGCAGGTCGCGGGATCGAATCCCAGCTGCAACGGCTGCATTTCCGTTGGAGGTAAAATGCTGTAGGCCCGTGTGCTCCGATTTAGGTGCACATTAAAGAACCCCAGGTGGTCGTAATTTTCGGAGCTCTCCACTATGGCGTCTTTCATAATCATATAGTGGTTTCGGAATGTTAAACCCCACAAATAAATCAAATATTACAGGTTCTAGCAATTACTGGAAAACCATTGTTGCCTTAATCTTAAGGCACTACTCTTTCATGAATATAATAGTTTAATGATTTTTTAGTTTTTTTTTCTGGCTTGGCGAAAAATTACAATAGGCTGCATACTTAGCATTTCTTCTACAAAGCACAGATTTTTTCGCCAGTAATATATTTATATTTTCTGTCTCGCGTGTTCACATATTCACCGAAAAAAAAACTTCGGCAGCGAAATAAAGAAAAAACATTGCCAGAATAAAGCCAGGTAGTCTCAATTTCCGCAGCCATTTACTACGGTGTCTTTCACATTTGTGTTATGGCTTTGGCACGCGAAACAGTCAGTGTTAATAATATTAACAAATGCGAAGCAATCCCTTGCGGACTTAAATGCTTCGAGCGTATCCATCCATCTATCTATCTATCTATCTATCTATCTATCTATCTATCTATCTATCTATCTATCTATCTATCTATCTATCTATCTATCTATCTATCTATCTATCTATCTATTCTATCTATCTATCTATCTATCTATCTATCTATCTATCTATCTATCTATCTATCTATCTATCTATCTATCTATCTATCTATCTATCTATCTATCTATCTATCTACTTACCTACCTACCTTCCTACCTACCTATCTACCTACCTACCTGCCCGCCTACGTTTAGGTGCTCTCGTTTTTGTGTTTAGAGAAATTTATTCTCACAGACAGTGAACATCAATTACAATCCAACAGAACATTTCGACAGAACACAACGTCCCCAGACACGCCAAAAGTTGTTACAAAAAGATATGTGTACATAAGTAAACGGAACACAACGTACACAACTTACCCAACCACACACGGATTGTTACAAAAACAATGTCTACATATGCACAATACATGGTAAACGAAGAACACACAAATGAAATGTTGTGATATATGCGTCAGATATTTACATAGTATTTACAAGGTATTTGTATGAGTACTAAACAAAGATTAACCTACCAATACCAGGCAGGCCTGAAAACAAGCCTTACACGTCTCTCACAGACGAACACAAAACGGCAGGACCAGTGTCGAAAGAATTCCTCCTCACCCAGAAAGAAGAGTTCCTCCGACAACACAGATAGTATTTTTTTGTACAGCCGCTCCAAAATCGGGAAGAGAGCACGGCGGTGACGACCTGCTGCAACAGCTTCACAACGGTTACGCCAAAGACAGTAGGCACCAGAAACAATAAGAAGGCAGGCAAAGCGGCCTCGAGAACAACGTCCAGAAGAAACAAAGCGGTTTACTCCGAGGCCACGAAATCCTGCATGCACAGCCCTCCAGAAAACACGAGCAACGACACATTGCCTTAACACACGCTGATTTGTTCCCCGTAGGGAGCAGTTCGGACATGTTGATGACTGGACCGTTCTCCACCTTTCTAGGCGGTCAAGGGTAGGAAGAACGCCCAACCCGAGCCGCCACATGAAGTCCCGGAGGCGGCCAGGTAGAAATGATGCCGTCAGCGTGCTCCAAGACACACGACTAGAGCGGGTGTGGCGTGCCGGGGGAACTAACGGGAGCAACAACGCGGCTGTTGTGTCGATAGATTTGTCTAACACATGTTAATCAGGGCAAGTCGACTGGATATGACGAAAAAACGTGACAGCTGTTGCATAAAACGAAGGAAGTACTAATGATTGTGGGCCCCGATTAAGGCGCACATTAGGCAATAAATACCGAAGGTGAGTGCCTAGAAAATAATAAGCCAGAGCTCGCGCGGGGGATTCCTCTCCTTGTACGAGGCGCAACAAGAAGCGCAGGGCCAATAGCCGGCAGCGTATTGATACCGAAGCGAAAGCAAAACCTCCCTGGGAACGCTGCTGTCCTAACGCCGCACGAGAAACCAACTCAGTGCCACCAGACCAAAAGAAGGAACACAAGGCAGACTGCAATGACCTCACGATGCGTAAAGGCGGCTGTTCCACGTGAGAAAGGTACCAAATGCGACCGCAGAACACAGTGTGCGCAGGGTACCTCCGCTCAAGAAGCGGGGTGTCGAATTCCCGGGCGTTCTCGATTTCTTGTTTTACTTCATCGAGGGCGTTTGACCAAGCGGAGTTACAAACGCCGTAGTGGTTGTATAGAATTCCTAAAATGCGAAGAGACGCAGCCGGTTGAGAAAAAGATGTGGACCTAAGTGTGGAGTTGGGATAGCCGATGAACAAATACCGCAATCTAGAGAGGTTAAGCGCGGCACCTGAAATGTCCCCATACTGGAAGAATAAACGCAGGCTATGAGAAAGACTGTCGTTATATGAAAGGTACAGGGTTATGCCGTCAGCAAAAGCTGTGACTTTTAGGGTACCGCTGCCGGGAAGTGCAAGACCCCGGACATGCGAATCTGCTTCTAGAGCACATAAAAATTGTGCAAGGCTGAGAGCAAATAGAACAGGAGACAAGGGGCATCCTTGACAGACCCCACGTGTAATAGAAAAGGCAGCACTCTCCCAACCATCTAGAACTAGTGTGCTTTTTATACCAGAGTAGGTATGTCTAATTAATTCAACAAAAGTACCAGAAAAACCAAGGGCTGTGAGCACTTTAAAGATATACGTGTGCTCTAGTCGGTCAAATGCTTTCTCTTGGTCTAAAGACACAAGCAGATCATGCGCAGATCGCGACAGAGTGTAGGCTATGATATCCCGGGTGCTAAAGGACAAACTGTGTATTTCCCGTCCAGGCATAAATGAAGCCTGGTGATGACCCACCAGGGTGTTCAACAGAGCCTTCAAACGTTGAACGATCACTGCCGCGAATATCTTATAGTCAACGTTAAAAAGCGTGATAGGTCTCCAATCTTCAGGATTAACAGAAGAAGCATCACCTTTAGGAATAAGCACAATGCGCCCATCTCGAAAACTTGATGGAAAGACACCATCCTCAAAACATCGCCGGATAACCACGGTTAATGCAGTAACAAGCTAATTCCAAAATGATAAGTAAAATTCAACTGGACAACCGTCTGGCCCAGGGATTGTCCCCCGTTTCATAGATTGTAGGGCTGCTTTTACCTCTTCAACTGATGGAGGAACGTGCAGAGAATCAGCAGCTTGTCGAGGAACGCGAGGCAAACATCTAAGCATAGGCGGTATTATATCACTGTTTGTCCGCATGGCCGAACACTACATCTCTTCAAAATGCTCCAGAAAGAGAGATCGATCACGCGTAGGAAGCTGCTGTGTAGGTGGTGTCTGCATGGTCGTAAAAACAGGTGACTGTGACTGCCCAAAACACGATTGCCTCGCATAGCGTAGCACCTCAGGGTGGGCGCAAGGGTTGTGCCTACAACGCTATGCAGCCGCCGCCAGAGATGAGGTGGCAATCAAACGCTGGAAGCGTTCAGGTAATTCATGTTGCCAAGCTCGCATCAAGAGAGACGGCGTTTCAGCGCGCAATATGATGCGTAACTTCGCTGCAGTATCGGCCAGCTCCTCAGAAACGCGACGACGAAGAGAACGCCCTTCAACTGAGCAGTGCAGGCGCCACTGCGTTTTAGGCGCATCCCAATCAAATAAATCAGACGCAGCGAGTGACACGCGTAATGCACGGGAAAAATTTGAGCGAGAGCACGCGTCCTGGAGGATGCGGACATCAAGGCGCCATGGTTCCTCCAAAAAAGAAAATGAAATTTTTAGTTCTCATAGAATCGGACGATGATCAGAGATGTACACAGGCGAAGGTGGGATGGGCGGAACACGTAAGTCGGAGACAAATGTCTCTAAAGCATGTGGAGTATAAGCGCGGTTGAGTCTGCTGGAGGAGTGTCCGCGGCGCCATGTCCAAACAAAAGTATTCCCGTGTATGACATTATGCGCATCCAGCAATGAA